GATAAGATTGTAACCTCAGAGGAGGGGCCAAGGCGTCGGGATAGAATGTATATAATGTGTGTCTTTGTTGTGACTAGGTGTGGCTCAAATATTTATTTGGAGTCCACCACGCTTTGCAAACCGTTGTATCCAATAAATCTCTGTCTAATTTCAACTTGCTGTTTGGTGTTATTCAGTGGGCTAGAATTTCTACCAACAAACTCCCAGAATCCCCCAGGCAGCAAGCTGAGTCCACACATCTTAAAGCATGTCGGCTGGGAGAATTCTGGGAGTTGAAGTCCACTAAGCATGCTGGCTGGGGGGAATTTCTTTCCCCGAACTGGACTCTCTGCTCCTCCCAAGATTGTCTTTGCTGTTTTAGCAGCTGCAGGGCCCTGCTGGCTTGTGTTTAACTTGTGGACCAAAAGGGCCGCTTTTTCCGGGCGTGGGCTGTGAGAATGCAGCTTTGAGCGACACAGAAGGAAATGGCTCACCCCGGAGATCAGTTGGGTAAGAGAACTCTTGAATGCAAAGCAGGAATTGGGGTGGAGAAAGTATATCAGAAGGGACACTCTGTGCTTCTCTGAAGGGAGGGAGGGATGCACGTTCAGACATGCATGTTACTCTTATTGTAACTGTATTGTGACGGGCTCATTCTTGCTTTCCTGGTCTGGACTGCCCTGGAGACTTTGATATCTGCCACTGCCCAGCATTATCTGCAAACTGGATAAGGGTTACATAGTAGGAGGAGGTCAGACTAGGTTTGTGGCTGGGGAAGTGTGACCCAACTTCTTTCCTTCCTTTTCTCCTTTCTTTCTTTCTTTCTTTCTTTCTTTCTTTCTTTCTTTCTTTCCTTCCTTCCTTCCTTCTTTCCTTCTTCTTTCTTTTCTCTCTCCCTCTTTCTCTCTCTCTTCTCCCTCCCTCTTTTTCTTTTTCTTTCTTTTTTTCTTTCTTTCTTTCTTTCTTTCTTTCTTTCTTTCTTTCTTTTCTTCTTCCTTCTTTCCTTTTCTCTCTCCCACTTTCTCTTTGTCTTATTTCCCTTCTTCCTCCCTTTCTCTCTTCTCTCTTACTTGTTTCCTTGCTTCCTTGCTTCCTTGCTTCCTTGCTTCCTTCCTTCCTTTCTTTCCTTCTTTTCTCTCTCCCGCTTTCTCTCTGTCTTCTTTCCCTTCTCCCTCTTTCTTTCTTTCTGTCTTCTCTCTTTCTTCCTTTCTTTTCTTTCTTTCCTTCCTTCGTTCCTTCCCTTCGATGAAGACTTTTCCTTCAACAAAAGTCTTCATCCCTTCTTTCCTTCCTTCCCCCCTCTCTTTCTTTCTTTCTTTCTTTCTTTCTTTCTTTCTTTCTTTCTTTCTTTCTTTCTTTCTTTCTTTCTTTCCTTCTTTTCTCTCTCCCGCTTTCTGTCTTCTTTCCCTTCTACCTCTCTCTTTCTCTCTTTCTCTCTTCTCTCTCTTTCTTCCTTTCCTTCCTTCCTTCCTTCCTTCCTTCCTTCCTTCCTTCCTTCCTTCCTTCCTTCCTTCCTTCCTTCCTTCCTTCCTTCCTTCCTTAGAGAAACTTAAGGACTAGAAATTTTGCAGAAGCAGAATCAAAGCTGCCAGTTTTTGCAGACAGGATTCAGTCCCCTAGCTACAATTCCCACCCTCCCCTTTGCCATTTTCCCTTTCTTTCCAAATGCACCAACACTCAGGTTGTGCAAAACCAAAAGGTTAAAACATCTCTAAGCATGCCGCGTCCTCTGCGCTTACCTGTCGCTCTCTCCAAAGCTCCCGTCTGCCAGCCTCTCTTCCTAGGGCGGGAAGTCTCTTATATATGCCAGCAGAAGGAGGATCCTCTGCTCAAAAACCTTCTCGGAAGCAATACTAAAAATTCCCCAGCCTGGATTACATCGTGTTGAGAAACACGCTTGGCTAAATTTCAGTGTGGAGCTCAGCCTCGGTTCAAAGGCCACCCTGATGTTGACAATCTGCCTCCCTCAAATGCCTCTCAAAAAAAAAAACAACAACCAATTGCCTGAATTTTGGGAGGAGAAAGTGTTTTCTTCTGTCTTTTAGAAAACTGGCCTGGAACAAGGAAAAAAAACAAAACAAGGATTGAGGTTAGTCAGGTTTCCACATATCCCTGGGGTGGGGGACATTTAATGAAGAGATGCATAATTTTTCATCCCCCCCCCCCATTAGAAGAAAAGTCTTCATCCTGGTTCAGTCCAAGCCGGGAATAAACAACATGGCGACTGCTTTAGAAAGAAGGTTGCAGTTTATTGAAGAGGAGAGCCAGACAGGAAGATGGCTCTGGAAGAAAAGAGAGCGAGCACATGTAAGGAGTGGGTTTTTATACCCTCTAGAGCCTTTTTTTTGGAGTTGTTAAGTGAATCCCTGTAGTTGTTAACTTACTAACTAACACGGTCATTAAATGAATCTGGTTTCCCCTGTTGACTTCGCTTGTCAGAAGGTCACAAAAGGAGATCACGTGACCCACGGACACTGCAAACCGTCATAAATATAATTGCCAAGGGTCTGAATTTCGATTATACAACCATGGGGGTGTTGCAAGGGTCCTAAGTGTGAAAAAACAGTCACTTTTTTCAGTGCCTTTCTAACTTTGGTCACTAAAAGAGAGTCTGTAAGTCGAGGACTACCTGTATTTGAAATGTGTTTGAAATAAATTAACTATGAAATCTCTCTCCCATTTCATTCTTAGAGGAGGAGCTGATAGAATAGGATAGGATAGGATAGGATAGGATTAGAATAGAATATAGAATATAGAATATAGAATATAGAATATAGAATATAGAATATAGAATATAGAATATAGAATATAGAATATAGAATATAGAATATAGAATATAGAATACAGAATAGAATAGAATAGAATAGAATAGAATAGAATAGAATAGAATATAGAATAGATTTTGAATGGGTGTAACTGCTTCAGCTGGGATGCTACGCTGTAGACAGGGTGATGGTCTTGGTGTTACTTGATCAGAGTTGTGTTCTGTAAAACCTCACTTCTGTGGGATCCCGTCCCCTTTTGGGAAGTGTGGAGATCCTGTACATTGGATGGAAGAGAGCCAGATTCATTTACAATACCTCTTCCTTCCCCTGTCCTTACCACTTTCTACAGAGGGACGATGGAGAGCATCCTGTCATACAGCATCACTGTCTGGTTTGGAAGCATCACTGCTTCGGACAGGAAGGTGGTGCTGAGAGTGGTGAGGACAGCAGAAAAAATTATTGGTAGTTCACTCCCTTCTACCCAGGACGTGGCATAGAAGCATTGCTTGAGCAGAGTCTGCAAGATGGTCTGGGATGCCACACAACATCTTCACGACCTGTTTTCCTTGTTACCTTCTGGGAGGGGCTTCGTGGTATCTGAAGCAGAACATTCAGATTGAGCTAAAGTTTTGTTCCATACAGTATTAAACTTGTGAATGCTCAAGCTTCCTCTTTCCACTATGTATTCAAGATAGACAGTGATTAATATATGTATTTATATGTAAGGGTGTAGAAATATACATGTCACATATAGCATGTTTATATGTGTGTTATGCATGTATACACTTTTGAGAGCAGGCAACAGAATTATATTTTTAATGTGTGCCAGTGTGCCCATGGTGAAAAAGTACAATAAAGGTTATCCTATTTACAAATGTTTTTGCGAGGCACTTAATGGAGAGTACAGTGGGGAGGGTCTGGCTCAAGCAAATATTTGGCCCAACAGAAAACTTCCTTTACTACCGGTACCTGCGCTGAAACAGGCAGAGACCAGGGCAGCACCTCCAGACAAATGATCTGGTGGGGTCTGGGTGAAATTGCCCAGATGAGATCTATCAACCAGATTAGACTTGGAATCCCTACGTGGTCGCCAAATTGTTAGAAGGAAATTCTGGCTCATTCCGAGCAGCGCTTCAAACAGCACAGGACAACTGCTTGAAGTAGAAGTAGAGTTTATTGAACAGCAAATGAGAGAATTGGCCCAGTGGCTTAACGATCTTGGAGATGGTCTCTGCTTAAGAGGTTTGAGCCCTAGAATTGCATGGGTTCTCGTATTTGCCTTAGCTTCGGCCCACAAAAGCATGCTCTATGAGAGTAGATAAATAGATACACTTTGATGGGGAGGCGAGTTGGTTCTTTGTGTAGGCAGTCAGATTTCTGTTGGCTTTGAACCTTCCCGTTTCCGAGGCGGTTCCGGTGGAGGTAGGGGAGGCCTTGGATAATGCTGCAGGAAGAACTGCTTGTCTTTCTTTCTGATGCGAAACTAGCTCGCCCTCCTTTGATGCACCTTGGGAAGTGCTTGAGCATGTACCATAGCAGATTTAATATATTGTCAGCTACTCCTACTTTTTTTTCTCCCTAAAATTAATATTTTTCCCAATCATGTTCTGGCTGCCCTCCTTTAAATCCATCTAGGTCAGGGGTAGGCAACCTTGGCTCTTTCATGACTCGTGGACTTCAACTCCCAGAATTCCCTAGCCATCATGGCCATTGCTGAGAATTCTGAGAGTCGAAGTCCATTCAACTGGAAATGGCCCCAAACTGGGAAATCCTGCTGTTCAGGTAACAGGTGGGAAAAAGATCCACCTTGAAAGTTTAGCAGGGACAAATTTGGTATGGTTGAAGTGAAATTGCACGTTCACCCTTGAAATGCTTGGGGGAAGCACAGACAAATTCCTCCTTAGAATATAAATGGATGTTGTGATCATTGAGCCATCTTAGAAGATTCTCCAGCCGGCAGTCACACGCCCAAGGGTTTCCTGAAAGATCAAGACTGAGATTGGCAGACGGCTTGTAGACTGGATCATCCATTGTGCTGAGCTCATTGTCAGAGAGGTCCAGCAGCACCAGTTGTTGCAATGGGTCAAAGACTCCCGTTAAGATGTGGGTCAGGCTGCTGTTCTTCAGGGACAGCACACTCAGCTTGGGATGCCAATGGAAGGTCTTCCTGGCAATACACTGGATGGGGTTGCTTTCCAGGACTAACCTCTCCAAATTGTCTAAGCCACTGAACATCTCTGGATCGAGGCGATGGAGGAGGTTGAATGAGAGATCTAGAGATGTCAACTCCTTCAGCTTATCAAAACAAGAAATTGGGATCTCCTTCATCTGATTGTGGTCAAGGCCTAGGATCCTGAGCTCCTCCAGGGTTTCGAACCAGGATGGGCGCAGTTCAGCCAGTTGATTTTCACTGAGGGATAAATGAGTGAGGCTACTTGCATTTGTGAAGATCTCTGGAGGTAGATCTTCTAGATGATTTGTGGAGAGATCCAAGGTGTGCAGTTGTGGGAGGTTACGGAAGAGGCCACTTGGAAGAGTTTTTAACCTGTTGTTGGAGAGGTGAAGTTCCTGGAGGTTTGGAAGACCTTGGAGGGCCTCTACGCCAAGACTGGAGACTTGGGTGAACTCAACGGAGATCATCTTGGCTCGTGCGGGGAAGCCGGTGGGAAATTCACGTAGAGATGGAGAGTTGCAGACGAACTCGGTGACACTTTCTGGAGCAGGGGTGGGTGGGCAGTAAAGGACCTGCTGAGTGTAGCTGCTGAGGGACATCACAAGGCAGGCAATCAGAAGAGACGGAGCTGAAGACTTCATCCTGGAGAGAAGCAGGGAGAGAAAGATAAGTGGGCAAACATATTGGTCTATTAAATGCTACCTGCATTTCGGCATCCAAGACATATTATATATAGTCCTCGCTTAACGACTGGCTACTTGGTGAACATTCAGAAGTACGACAGATCAGTCCAAAAGGTACTTACAACATGACTTCAAAGTTCTGATGGCCACACATGATTGTATTTAGAATAGATAGAAAAATACATACTGTAGTAGAGTCGGAAGGGACCTTGTGGTCTTCTAGTCCAACCTCCTGCTTGAGCAGAAGACAAATGGCTGTCCAATTCTCTTTTTGAAGGCCTCCTGTGATGGAGCACCCATAACTTCTAAAGACAAACTATTCCGTTGGTTAATTGTTCTCACCATTAAGAAATTTCTCCATAGTTCTAGGCTGCTTCTCTCTTTGATCCATTGTTTCTTGTTTTGATTCTGGTGTTTTGGAAAATAGGTTGATCCCTCCCCCCTTATTTTTGAGGCAGCCCCCTAGATATTGGAAGGCTGCTAACATGTCACCCCTAGTCATTCCATCAGAATAGAGCTGGAAGGGACCTTGGAGGTCTTCTAGTCCAACCCCCTGCTCAAGCAGGAGACCCTATGCCATTTCAGACAGGTGGCTGTCCAGTCTCTTCTTAAAAACCTCCAGTGATGGAGCACCCACAACTTCTGGTGGCAAGCTGTTCCACTGGTTAATTGTCCTCACTGTTAGGAAGTTTCTCCTTAATTCCAGGTTGCTTCTCTCTTTGATCAGTTTCCATCCGTTGTTTCTTGTCCTGCCTTCTGGTGTTTTGGAGAATAGGTGGACCCCCCTCCTCCTCTTTGGGGCAGCCCCCCAAATACTGGAAGACTGCTATCATATCCCCCCTTGTCCTTCTTTTCTCTAGACTGGCCATACCCAATTCCTGCAACCATTCTTCCTATGTTTTTGTCTCCATGCCTTTAACCATCTTAGTTGCTCTTCGTTGCACTTTTTCCAAAATCTCAACATCTTCTTTGTAATGTGGTGACCAAAACTGGACTTAGTATGGCCTTACTAAGGATTTATAAAGAGTTTGAGCCAGCCATGTATAGCAGCAACCACCAGAAATGCTAATACAATCCTGGATTGTATAAATGGAGGCATAGAATCAAGATCACCAGAGGTATTAGTATTGCTGGCTTGTGTTCAACTTGTGGACCAAAAGGGCGGCTTTTTCCGGGCATGGGCTGTGAGAATGCAGCTTTGAGCGACACAGAAGGAAATGGCTCACCCCGGACATCAGTTGGGTAAGAGAACTCTTGAGTCCAAAGCAGGAATTGGGGTGGAGAAAGTATATCAGAAGGAACACTCTGTGCTTCTCTGAAGGGAGGGAGGGATGCACGTTCAGACATGCATGTTACTCTTATTGTAACTGTATTGTGACGGGCTCATTCTTGCTTTCCTGGTCTGGACTGCCCTGGAGACTTTGATACCTGCCACTGCCCAGCATTATCTGCAAACTGGATAAGGGTTACATAATAGAAGGAGGTCAGACTAGGTTTGTGGCTTGGGAAGTGTGACCCAGCCCCTTTCTTTCCTTCCTTTCCTTCCTTTTCTTTCTTTCTTTCTTTCTTTCTTTCTTTCTTTCTTTCTTTCTTTCTTTCTTTCTTTCTTTCTTTCTTTCTTTCTTCTTTCTTTTCTCTCTCCCTTTCTCTCTCTCTTCTCCCTCCCTCTCTTTCTTTCTTTCTTTCTTTCTTTCTTCCTTCCTTCCTTCCTTCCTTCCTTTTCTCTCTCCCGCTTTCTCTCTGTCTTCCTTCCTTCCTTTCTTTTTCTCTCTTTCTCTTCTTTCTTCCTTTCCTTTCTGTTTTTCCTTCCTTCCTTCCTTCCTTTCCTTCCTTCCTTCCTTCATTTCTTTCCTTCTTTTCTCTCTCCCGCTTTCTCTCTGTCTTCTTTCCCTTCTCCCTCTTTCTTTCTCTCTTCTTTCTTTCTTCCTTTCTTTTCTTTCTTTCTTTCCTTCCTTCCTTCCCTTCGATGAAGACTTTTCCTTCAACAAAAGTCTTCATCCCTTTCTTTCTTCTTTCTTTTCTCTCTCCCTTTCTCTCTCTCTTCTCCCTCCCTCCCTCTTTTTCTTTTTCTCTTTCTTCCTTCCTTCCTTCCTTCCTTTCTTTCTTTCTTTCCCCGAACTGGACTGTCTGCTCCTCCCAAGATTGTCTTTGCTGTCTCAGCAGCTGCAGGGCCCTGCTGGCTTGTGTTCAACTTGTGGACCAAAAGGGCCGCTTTTTCCGGGCATGGGCTGTGAGAATGCAACCGTTCTTCCTATGTTTTTGTCTCCAAGCCTTTAACCATCTTAGTTGCTCTTCATTGCACTTTTTTCCAAAATCTCAACATCTTCTTTGTAATGTGGTGACCAAAACTGGACTTAGTATGGCCTTACTAAGGATTTATAAAGCATATGAGCCAGCCGTGTATAGCAGCAACCACCAGAAATGCTAATACAATCCTGGATTGTATAAACAGAGGCATAGAATCAAGATCACCAGAGGTATTAGTATTGCTGGCTTGTGTTCAACTTGTGGACCAAAAGGGCCGCTTTTTCCGGGCATGGGCTGTGAGAATGCAGCTTTGAGCGACACAGAAGGAAATGGCTCACCCCGGAGATCAGTTGGGTAAGAGAACTCTTGAATGCAAAGCAGGAATTGGGGTGGAGAAAGTATTTCAGAAGGGACACTCTGTGCTTCTCTGAAGGGAGGGAGGGATGCACGTTCAGACATGCATGTTACTCTTATTGTAACTGTATTGTGACAGGCTCATTCTTGCTTTCCTGGTCTGGACTGCCCTGGAGACTTTGATATCTGCCACTGCCCAGCATTATCTGCAAACTGGATAAGGGTTACATAGTAGAAGGAGGTCAGACTAGGTTTGTGGCTGGGGAAGTGTGACCCAGCCCCTTTCTTTCCTTCCTTTCCTTCCTTTTCTTTCTTTCTTTCTTTCTTTCTTTCTTTCTTTCTTTCTTTCTTTCTTTCTTTCTTTCTTTTCTCTCTCCCTCTTTCTCTCTCTCTTCTCCCTCCCTCTTTTTCTCTTTCTTTCTTTCTTTCTTTCTATCCTCCCTCTTTCTTTTCTCTCTCCCTCTTTCTCTTCTCCCTCCCTCCCTTTTTCTTTCTTTCTTTCTTTCTTTCTTTTTCTTTCTTCTTTCTTTCTTTCTTTTTTCTTTTCTTTCTCCCTCTTTCTCTCTCTTCTCCCTCCATTTTTCTCTTTTTCTTTCTTTCTTTCTTTCTTTCTTTCTTTCTTTCTTTCTTTCTTTCTTTCTTTCCTCTCACCCTTTCTTCTCCCTCCCTCACTCCCTCTTTCTTTCTTTTTTAATTTCTTTCTTTCCTTTTCTCTCTCCCACTTTCTGTCTTCTTTCCCTTCTTCCTCCCTCTTTCTCTCTTCTCCCTTCCTTCCTTCCTTCCTTCCTTCCTGTCTCTTTCTCTCTTTCTCTTCTTTCTTCCTTTCCTTTCTGTTTTTCCTTCCTTCCTTCCTTCCTTCCTTCCTTCCTTCCTTCCTTCCTTCCTTCCTTCCTTCCTTCCTTCCTTCCTTCCTTCCTTCCTTAGGGAATCTTAAGGACTATAAATTTTCCAAAAGCAGAATCAAAGCTGACAGCTTTTGCAGACAGGATTCAGTCCCCTGGGCTACGGTTCCCACCCTCCCCTTTGCCATTTTCCCTTTCTTTCCAAATACACCAACACTCAGGTTGTGCAAAAAAACCCGTTAAAACATCCCTAAGCGTGCCGCGTCCTCTGCGCTTACCTGCCGCTCTCTCCAAAGCTCCCGTCTGCCAGCCTCTCTTCCTAGAAGAGCAGGAAGTCTCTTATATATGCCAGAAGGAGGAAGGTCCTGTGCTCAAAAACCTTCTCGGCAACAATACTAAAAATTCCCCAGCCTGGATTACATCGTGTTGAGAAACACGCTTGGCTAAAGTTCTCTGTGGAGCTCAGCCTCGGTTCAAAGGCCACCCTGATGTTGACAAAGCAACAAAGAGGATCAGGGGACTGGAGGCTAAAACATTTGAGGAACGGCTGCTGGAATTGGGGATGTCTCGTTTAATGAAGAGAAGGACGGGGGGGTGACAATTGGCTGTCCGATGTTAAAAATGTCCAGTGTTGGAGCATTTACAACTTCTGTTGGCAAGTTGTTCCACTGGTTAATTCTAACCATCAGGAAGTTTCTCCTTAGTTCTAGATCAGTGGTGGCGAACCTATGGCATGCGTGCCAGAGGTGGCACTCGGAGCCCTCTCTGTGGGCACATACGCCGTCGCCCCAGCCCCGCCTCCCCCCACAGCCCCCTCCTCACCAGCCTCCCCCTGGAGGAGAGTCACCCCCAGGCGCAGCCCGCACGGAGCAGCGCAGGCAAGGATATAGCCGGGCAGCAGGGACAAGATGATGCTGCGGGATGTGGGCGGAGGGCGTAGCTGCCATGGCGCTGCAGGGCTGCCTGGGCGATCTGCTGCGGCAGGCCATTGATGCGGTGCATGGCCCTGCAGGTGGGCGGGGCAGGGGGCAGGTGGGGGCAGAGCAGGCAGGGTGGGTGGCGGAGCGGGGGTGGGGGGCGGTTTTGGGGCACTCGGTCTCTAAAAGATTCGCCATCACTGTTGTAGGTTGCTTCTCTCCTTGATTAGTTTCCATCCATTCATGTCCTGCCTTCAGGTGCTTGGGAGAACAGCTTGACTCCCTCTTCTTTGGGGCAGCCCCTGAGGTAACGGAAGACGGCTATCCTGTCTCCCCCCCCCTCATCCTTCTCTTTATTAAACTAGACATCCCCAATTCCAGCAACCGTTCCTCATATGTTTTAGCCTCCAGTCCCCTAATAATAATAATAATAAAGTTGGAAGGGACCTTGGAGGTCATCGAATCCAACCCCCTGCTCAGGCAGGAAACCCTATACCATTTCAGACAAATGGATATCCAATCTCTTCTTAAAAACTTCCAGTGTTGGAGCATCCACTGCTTCTGGAAGCAGGTTGTTCCACTGGTTAATTGTTCTGTCAGGAAGTTTCTCCTTAGTTCTAGGTTGTGTGGGAAGTCAGAGCCCCAGAGAAGGAAATATTAAAAGGGCAGAAATATATATTTCCTCAAAAGTATTTTAAAAAGCAGAAACCAACTTTGGCTCCAAATCTCTCTGCCCCAAGCAAGACCTGGCCCCATACAAATGCAGATGTAAAACCATCAGAAAGTTGAAGCCAGAGCAATCAAGAAGACAAAGAGAAAATCTGCATGCCCCACCCAAACTCTAGGAGTCATTAGCCCCATCACCTGGGAAGCAGGATATGATAATAGGATTAAACCACAGATATCAAGGCCTAGAAAAACACTCAGAAATATCCTCAAAGTTCATGCCACAGGAACAGGAAACTATTCCAAACAGGGCTAGAGGGGGTATAAAAAACCTTCTACCCATGTGCTCAGCCTCTTTCTTCTCCTCTGCTCCTTCTTGCAAGGACCATCTGTCTTCTGCAATAAACTGTAACCTTCTTCCCAAAGCAGTCGCCATGTTTGCTTATTTATTCCCGGCTTGGATGAACCAGGATGAAGACTTACTTCTAACAGTTGCTTCTCTCCTTGATCAGTTTCCACCCATTGCTTCTCGTCCTGCCTTCAGGCACCTTGGAGAATAGCTTGACTCCCTCTTCTTTGGGGCAGCCCCTGAGATATTGAAACACTGCTATCATGTCCCCCCTGGTCCTTCTCTTCATTAAACTAGACATCCCCAATTCCAGCAGCCATTCCTCATATGCTTTAGCCTCCAGTCCTCTGATCATCTTTGTTGCTCTTCTCTGCACTCTTTTCAGAGTCTCAATCTCTTTTTTACATCGTGGTGAGCAAAACTGGATGCAGTATTCCAAGTGTGGCCTTACCAAGGCCTTGTAAAGTGGTATTAACACTTTATGGTTTTTATCTATAGTTGGCCACCAGGGGGCACTCTTCACAGGTCCTCAAAAGCAGTTGCATCCACTTGGGGGCTCCCGCAGTCTAAGCTTGCATAACACAAGGAACGAGAAACTGCATTTCATCAGAGTGCGAAGAAATTTCAACCTTTCCAGACCAACGTTCACAAATGCAGACGTTTGGAGTTTTAAGCTGTATTTCCCCCCCCCCCATTTTACCCTGAAATTGTTTTAGCGGTCTCGATTGGCAACTGGGGGGTGGGGGTGGGGTGGATGTTGTTGGGGGTGTGCATGTGTGTGAAAAATGCCAGGATAGTCTGACACGTCTTGGTACCTTATGAAAGATTCCCAAAGGTGCTTTTTTTTTTTTCAGGAGGCAACTGGATTTTCTTGTTTGTTCTT